TGTTTGAATATTTTTACAATATGAAGAAAGAAAATTATAATGTATAGAAACAAAATCATTTGTTGACCAAGAAATTCTAATCTAAGAGATTATAATAGAATGAAACTATGTAAAAAATCCTCGTCTTACGAACAATTTTTCTCGTTAGTTATCAACATTATTATGCTAAATACATCTCATGATATTTTAGTTGATCCATGGTTCTAATAGCAACGTATTATATATCAAAATATTATTGGGTGTCATCTTTTGTATTGAAGCAACCGAAAGCCTGAAGTTCTATGATCGATGAACTTATTACCAGGCCAATAATACGATTCGAGGACACTAATTGTAGCTGAATATTTTGAGTGAGAAGAGAATTTTAAAAGGCAGTTTTTCTTTCTTCAATAAATTACATAATTATAGAGGAAAGTGGATCTGCACTTCGAGCACTTCATTATGATATGTATGTATATTTCAAATACTTACAGAACGAAATTGATTTTTATCAATGACATTCAGAACTGAGATCATAAATTTTAATTAACATTTTATGCCGATTATTTCTCAGATCTATAACTGAATGTGTATGGGTCTAATAAAGTTTTTATAAATTTTACATGAATATTTATCATCAGTTAGTTAATGATTCTGTATGCTTTCAATTTGTAATTTTACCACATAAAAGAAAAATGCAACACTAATGATTATTATAATAATATTAAACATTTAAGTGAGCTTAATATTATAGATAACAATGAGAATGACTTATGATTTGATAAAAGGTATTATCAGTTTCTATATTTAAAATGATAAAAGCAAATCTCTGTCTTGCCATTAAGAAAATAACTAGAACAATGAATATCTAGTGAGCAGGAAATAAAATAAAGCCGCTCAGTAAAAAACTAGAGTAATATACATATTAGATGCGAAACTCATTTTAGAATACTTGAAAGGATAAAAAACATTTAATTTAGCCTAGATTCCGTCAAGGTTTTGACTTATCTATTGTAGAACTGCTTTCGGTAAAATCTTTGAAAAATAAAATCTAATATCCGACAGTTTATGGCATAGAGGATTGAGAAGTATTAGAATAATCAGTGATTTATCACAAAGAAGATAACAATCTAGGGAATTTGTCATTATGTCTCGTTTTCTGTAGTCAGTTGAAAGAACAAGACGTTGTCTTGAAGTTTTCTTTTGGTACATGCATGGCAATATACATAATGTTATTTAAAGCAGAAATATGTTTGTTTTTTAAAACATTGCGCAAGATGAAATACTCTTTATTTACAGCATCATTTTCCTACACTTCTTCATCATTTACTTTAAAAAAGATTTTAAAAAATCTGTGTACCCAGTAGATGTGCTGATCTTCGATTCAAATTGAAAGAAGAAACGATCAGATTCTAACAATTTCTTTCATATGAACATCTTTTCGGATAATAGTGTTCGTATTAATTTCGTTAGATAAAAATTTAAATGGAAGTTATTCATATTTGATTAATTTGAAAAGAAATATTTTTTGTTTTCGTATCTGTCATAATGTTCGAAACTTCTTAATGTTATTATGAGTCTTCGCAGAAGCTAGCAAATTATATTCATAAATATTTTATTTTTCATTAGTATTGTTTTTCAACAAGGAAGAAATATTCAATATGATATGTTTACAGATGCTTCTCAACCTTAAAATATATGTGTTAAGCAAATAATAATTAAGGGTGTCGTCTAACTATTCATAATATAAGAATCCTTTGCTTCACCAGAATATTCTTTATCAATACTAAAATGAACCTGAGAAAAGCTACCAGAACTTTCCAGATACTTTGTCACAGTGTCCTTACGGCTGTAAACGATCAAATACGGGCCTTTTACGAGTCGCATTTTGTTGCAAGCTTGATCCATGATTTACGACCGTATTTACGTCGTGTCATATATGGCGTGCTTACGACCAAGATCAAATGATTAGACATAACTGTATTTTCGCTGTATACACGCCATGTGCTCACCGTATACCATCGTTTGCCGTCGTATTTAAATGAACTTTTTCTTATTGAAGACAGAGATGACTTTCTATTACGTTCTTTTCTCGTAAAAAAATATAGAATTTATTTATTTAAACCAATCTTTAATCGTGTATTTGTTTCGGGAGCCAATCTAAATTTTAGAAAACTATATAGTTATTTAAATTGATGCTTACCCTTGTATACTTGTTTTGGAATTAATTTAAATGGAAAAAATATATTTATTGAAACATAGACCATAGGTATTTTTAAAAGACACAGTTGAATGTATCGAATAGATCCCAGTAGAAGTTATCAGTTAAAATGGGACTTCGTATTGACAAAAAGAATTTTTTTTACCAGAGAGTAAATTTATATGAGTGCGTTCTGATAAAGCAACTCCTAGTGACATTAGGTCATTAAAGCTTGGCAGTATTAGATAGAACTCCAGAGTATCTATTGATTGTCTACGATTACATGGTAGCTAATGATGAAGTGTAAATGTTTTAATAATGCGGCATGAATATGACGTAGTTACAGTGTATAAACGGCTATTGTGTATGACATCTTCATAGAACGGTACAAACAAGCAAAGTTTATCGAGATTTGATTCACTTGGCCCTAGACTGACGGAATAGAGAAGTGCATATAGGTACATCTAGATATAAACGTGCACTAAGTAAAGTACTAGAATAAATACAAAAGGTGACTTGACACATAATATCGATTCATTCTACAAAAACAGTTTTCTCATAATATAAAAGTGGATTTTTATGTTTCTAAAGAAAAAAGTCGATTTTGAATATGTTCTATGCTTGACTAATGAACTTTAGTTTATATGCTCAATGCTATTAGGATCATAAACAATAGTATATTGATTTTAGAGGTTTTATACTTTACGTTTAAATATTTTAAACAAAAATCTTAAAATTAAAAACGCTCCAATTTTTTCGTGATTCATATTACGCTGTGTATTGTTCATGTTTGAAATAAAACGTATGCTATATATATACATTGATTTATTAAGATAGCAAAGAAATCAATACATGAATGAAGATCCAACTCTCTCTCTTCTGATTAGAAAAAAAGTATTTTCTCGCTTAATTTCTTATACTGAAGTGAATATTCTTCTGAAAGTCAAGAATCATGATGCTGATCGCCATTGCCTTACTCTTAATGTTCAAGTTTCGATTATGAGCTCTTATAATAATGGTGCTAATGATTCTGAGTATTACAATGATTGTAATGGTTGGATGTGTATTGAATAATGTTGAATTTCTAATTTTGCAAAGATGAAACCTCTGAAGGAAAGCTTGAATTTGCTTCGGAGTTTTATACTTAGCTCATCAAATGTATCGAATCATAGTGAATCACATTTCATATCTAGATAATCAATTAAGCAAACTTCGTTGCATTCTATCCATCTTTATTTTTTCTATTTCTCCATAAAGCGAAATCAGAAGGTACCTATTATTGTTGTCACTGACGGTAATGGATCTCCATGTTCTATGCCGACGTTGCACACTGAAGACTTATTGAGTTAGATGGTGATATTAGCCTGCATACGGTCCTTCATAGTTAACGTATCATTTGTTTATTTTGCTCTCGATTCAATACCACGGCTGTATGAATCTTAACCGACATCTGATGTCTTCTTTTCACAATCAATAGAATAATACTCCATTCTCGATTCTCATCTCTTTCTTGAGCATGCGACCGTTCCGTCAAGACTATCAGTACATCCAACCACTCTGAAAATAACGTTGAAAGTTTCATTGAGATCATAGATGATTTTTGTACAGTGTGGTTGAGACTCCATGAAATTACTCAGCTATAAAACTAAAAACGTTCGATCTCCTCAGAAACAGGCCATGGGGAGTAACTCTTTTTATCATAGTCATAACTCATCAAGGTCTACAAGATGCACACAGTCTCGACTCAAAAGCGAATGTGCACTAGGGAATGTTCCCTCGTCAGTCAAAAGCCTTGTATTGATAATTTTTTGAATTTATTTTAAGGAACAATTGCCAGCCAAAGCAGCATGATGTATGTCCATCACATTATAATTTATGGAATAAAATCACTAAAGCTATCTAGTATAACTACGTACCAACAAAACACAGCATTAATAAGTGAGATAGAACTTTCTTCAAAAAAATTCAGAAAAAAATAAAAAATTTACATTTAAGAATATATAAATCAAAATAATTCTTCATTATACTATGATTACAGCTTTTGTTTTTCTAATCACAGTGACTGTCACAATAATTTATAGAAACGTCGACAAACAACTTGAGAACAGTTTGAAATCAGCACAATGTTCAGAATTTTGTTTTACAGCATGTATATTGTAAACGATTTTCTATATTTTTAACAGAAAAATCATTTATGAAGTTTTCATCATTTCACTGCATCTTACCAAATGAATATCATAAATACAAGTCGATTCCATTCAAAAACAGATTAGCTACACATTTACGTTCCCATTCATTGTTAAATATGTATTCAATTTTAGTGTATTTGGACAAAAAATACTTATTAAAATAAAAAAATCGAACGAATTGTAGAAAAACGACTTGTTCAAGCATCGAAACACCGTGAGATTTCATAAAATAATAAAAAAAATCGTCAAATATTTGCGAACTGAACACAGATGACAATGAAACCATTATGAACTTTAATCAGAGTATGTTGTACCTTTGTTGCATCACATCAATACTATTGGATATGACTATGAATTTGAATTAAATTTTGACTTGTGCTAGATATTTTCAACCGGTTTCTCATCATTAGTAGATTATGTTCAAAAAATTTTAGAAACATTTTCAAATACAACATATGATGTACTTGTTGCTATAACTCATTTAGATATGATATTATTTACGTGGAACAAAATATGTACCGATTTATAAAGCTGATCTTACTGCATTTACTGTATTTATACATCGTTGTGCTTTTAATTTAAATACAAAAAGTTTTCATATATATAGTACATCAGTACAAGTAACATCTGCAATGCCTGAAGAAGAAAATACAGCTACCATAGCAAATTATTGGTATAATTTAGGCTTTCAAGGTTTCAAAGAATTAGGTTATGAACCAGATGCAATTGTATCATGTTTACGAATTGATGTTGAATTAGATGGTAGATCAATTTCAGTTAGAAGTTCTACAACACTTTCAACAGCTGAAATATGTGAAAGTATGTTAAAGTTAACAGCATATAATCAAACAACAATTGCAATTATTAATGGAGGTACAGTACGTATTGATGATATTCTTCGTGAAACAATTACACAATATGATATTATACGTACATTACCTTTTGGAAATCGAGTTATTGCTTTATCTGTTCCTGGACATTTACTTGCTCAAGTTCTTACAAAGGGTACATCTTTAAAAGGAAATGGAATATTTATTGCTTATACGAGAGTTGAAACATTCGATGGTGGTAATACATGGCTATTGAATGGAACTGATATATCAAAAAGTGGTCTTTATTATGATGTAGCAACAACAGCATATATACGAGATTTTACACAATTAAATAAATCATATGTTATTACTTTACATAATGCAAATGTAACACAGACAAAAAGTTTAATGCAGTATTTAACAATAAAATATTCTCCTTGCTAGTAAAGATATTTAACATTTATATTGTTGAATAAAAATGTATCTGAATTTTTTTTTACTTTTGAGATGTATGGTTTTTTTCGATTAAATATTAAGAATACCATTTTCATATTTAAAAAAAGCCTATAAAATTATTTGAACTAAATTGATAACGTAAGGAATAAGACAATATATATATATATATATCATCGTTTGGAAATAAAAAAGAATCATATTACGATTGAAACTGAAAATAAAAACAATTATTTTATCACTATGCCATTCAAAACAGCATTGGATTTCGTATACTATGAACTCAACTATTATTTTGTAATTATGAATAAAGCTTTACTGTATGAAGTTTCTGTTTTGATACAATGATAGATGATACAAAATAAATAGTTTTTCAATGAAATTACTTTTTGTCTAGATAAATCTTTTTAGCAATATCAGTTACATTTGAAGTTGTGCTATTTAGCATAGATTTTTCCTGATTCAATTCTATTGGTTAGTTTTCTTCTTCATTTGGTTGAAGCATGTTATAATATTATAAAAATAGATTAAGCAATGTTTTTATTTTTATATATGTTAGTAGAAAACAATCTATTTTTATCTTCCCTAACATATACATGCTGCAAGACTGACCTTACTTGAGGGTGTGGGTGTGAGTGTAAGTCTTCCTCTCATCCACACCCACACCCTCCTGCATCTCGAACGTTGAACCTGAACCCTAACAGAACACTGACTATTAATCATGTGTCGAATTTTTCTATTCCAAACGTTAATTGTGAACCTCCGTTCTACACATAATTTTTCCACATTTTTTTATTTCCAACGTCGAGCTGAGCTGTAACTTTGCATATAGTCCTTCAGTTATTTCTGTTTCAAAAGTTGAACTTTAACTATACATATAACTTTTTTCTACTCTTTCTGTTTCAAATGTTGAAGCTGAACCCTAACCAAACGCTGACCCTTAATGATGTGTAGAATCTTTTCTGTTTTTTTTTTCTTTTTTCTTTTTCTATTACAAATGGTTAACTTTAACTACGCATCTTTTGCGACTAACACTATAACCGATACCACGCATTATCCATCGCTTGACAAAGAAATAATTCGGAATGTCTCGCGTTAATAAAACTTTAATTATTTATTTATTCTCTTTTTCTTTTCTTAATTGTTGTTTCTATTGTTTATTTTCCGTGCTATTCACTATATCCTTTTCTTCATGAAAAAAATAATAATAAAAAATAAATATTTGTCAAAAATACATGTTGATTTGTCAAATTTAAAGAATAATATTGTATATAAGATCGTAGTTCACAATCAATTTCGTTGATTCCAGATTGAAAAGCAAATGCCAGCAAGACATATACTGACGGAAATAACAACTATCAATCTAAGAAAAGCAAGATCAACTTATTGTGCCGTTTACGACGTATTCGATAGCTCATAAATGCTTACATAATACTGATAAGCACGGCACGATCAAAATGTGTTTGATGTGTATTGCCATGAAAGTGTGAAATTGTTGTCTCGGACACGAAGTGACCGCAGCAGAACGGTTTCCCATCTTCATCTACATCAGTAGTTTATTATGTTCAGTCCTATTTCATGGTAAAGTTAGGTTAGATTTACCTTCACAACAATCATCAGCTTTACTAATCTCGCATTGTATTTCTATTGGACACGTAACTATTCGATTAGCAATATTGCATTCTCCAATGCCTTCATCATTGAGAGTTCCAGGAATCAAGGTAAGATGAAAATTTTTTTTGATGACAATAAGATACCGTTGGTATTTGATCATCGATTCTTACCAAAGAATCATCCATATTAGCTGGATAAAAGAAATTATTTCCATCGTTATTATCATCTGAAAGATCAACTTGGGTAACAATATTGCGTCTCTGACAGAATGATCTAGCTTTTGCTTACATGGAAACTCGTTATATTCGTTTATCGTTGCATGTTCAGCGTAGAACTGTTTATCGCGATTTATAATGTTGTAGATTCTTGTAGTATATTTCCGTCGTTGATAGTACTTTTTGACATAGTTAGTAGCAAGTGGTAAATATTTTTTATCAGCTCTCATCTAGATGGATATGAATAAGAAGAAGTATAAGTAAGAGTACTGTATAGACAGTCTTACCCATTTACGTCCTGCCATTTTGTCGGCATTTCCGGAGATGATGGTTTTACTCGACATGGTAACTTCGTTGCTTAGCACAACTTGTCCTAAAAGCCTCAGTTTTGTTCAATGTCTAGTCTGATATTGACTTACGAAAATTATCAGTCAAATTGAATCTATTGCCACCTCGAAATGTCGAGTCTCTCAAAATGGACGAGGATTCTTCAGAAAGAAAGAAACAAATAAGATCCAAATCGAATGAAAGCTGCTCAATTGTTACACACTTGCCGATGTTATCAATGATGAATGTCGAAAAAAATGACGCACCGCTTCAGGTAAGCGATGCTTCTGATGGCTCGATGTCGGTGTACCTACAATAACAGTGGTTTTAGTTCATAGATTGGAATAAAAATGCGTACTGCTGGATAATCGAAAATCGTTATCCGATGATGAATGACCTAGATAGCAAGACATTCCAATGAACAATTCTCATGAATCAGTATTTACGATGAAAGAATTGAAAGTGGCGCTTTGTTGTTGTTGATGATGGTACCCCAGTGAAGGCTGTTGTATGGCTCCGAAAATCTAAAACAACATACAATAATCAAACAGTAAAAGTTCGTACTTACGATGAAAGAATCGAAAGTGGCTCTTTGTTGTTGATGATGATGGTGATTGTGTTGAGGCAGTCGAATGGCTCCGAAAATCTGAGATAAAGCTGAAGAGTCAAATAGCATATCATCATACTTACGATGGAATATTCGAAAGTGGCTCTTTGTTGTTGATGATGATGGTGATTGTGTTGAGGCAGTCGAATGGCTCCGAAAATCTGAGATAAAGCTGAAGAGTCAAATAGCATATCATCATACTTACGATGGAATATTCGAAAGTGGCTCTTTGTTGTTGATGATGATGGTGATTGTGTTGAGGCAGTCGAATGGCTCCGAAAATCTGAGATAAAGCTGAAGAGTCAAATAGCATATCATCATACTTACGATGGAATANATAACCTTGCAACACAAGGCAACAAGTGAGGGTGCGGGGAGATAGTGTGATTCCGTCAGGGAATTCCGGAATCGATAGGAATTAGGTTCTAGGAGTTCCGGAATTGGTGGGAATTAGGTTGTTAGGATTCCGGAATTATATGAAAGGGTCATTATAGGAATTCCGGAATTGAGGGAACTGATTCCGGGGGCGGAACTGGTTCCCGCAATGTGCAACATTGCCGAATAGGATGTATTCTCACTATAGCATGGTCTTTATTTGCATACAACTATAATGTGACAAACGAGCGCTCTAATACGACACGAAAATTAAAGTATCATGTTCAAAATAGAAAAAGACCTTTTATCTACATATCGATTGATAGAAAATAATAATAATTTTTCTATCGAATCACTTCTATTTTCAAGGTGATGGGATCGATGCGCGTTTATTGTTCTATTCTTTTCATTTTTGTCTTCAAAGCTAGAACAACAACTAAAAGCATATGAAAACTGATTCAATTGCACAATGAATAAGTAAAACAGCGTCGATAATTCAAAAATATTTGTCTTTCAGAAGTTCATCTTACAACCGCTTATAAAGAATGATCGGATACGAGTGTTGAAGTCTGCACCACGAAACATAATACCATCTGACCTTCTCTACAGTACGCAACAAATATTTCGACATGATATTATGGGTTTTCTGATCACATGATAAGTATAGTAAAACAATTACTAAAATCAACTATACTCAAAATGAATAACATGCGATGCAAAAGTAATTGAACAAATGTCAGCGTCTATTTCTATTTGATGAAAGCAAAATTTTTCTGTTAGAAGGCAGATTATTTTTTCTCTTTCAAATCGTATACTATTTATTTTTATTACACGTACCTAAATGAAATGATGCAATAGAGAAGAGCTGTAATTTCTAAATGACTCTGCACTTTCCATCTAATGCTGAAGAATGATAGAAGATATGAATCTGATACCTGTTTAGTAAGCAAATATTGGAAATACTTTTTTTTTTTATTAGATGGTAGAAAATTTTCTCCTTATTCGATAAGTACATATATCTAATTTTGTTATATATTCATAAAGAAAACTAAGTGAGAAGTAAAAGAAACACCAATATGATGATTTTGAAGCTTTTAAACTTATGGATAAAATAACTACTCTCAAAGCTCTTTTCTAAGGTATGACAAAACAGATCATGATTTTCGGTTTATATTCCTTTTTCTGCTTGAATCTAGTGTCATCAGAGTCTTTATTTGCATAAATATAGGATTAATATTATTCTCACTTATGATAAAACATTTTTCATCACCTAAAACAGTATCATAAACACAACAGATCATTCGATGTAAATTTCCGCAATTCTTTCTGCTTTTCTTTTTATAGAGCTTTATGTTTCATCTATGAAGTGTTTCGATGCTTTCTGATAACTACTAATCTACTGTTTCGTAAGTAATGACTAATACTTAATTCATGAATATTGAAATGTTCAGCTGATTAACTGTGACTAAGAGTAAGACATTTTATTTAACATGACTTAATTAAGAAAATACTAGAATTAATCTATAAAGGTGTTGAAGGGCTACCTAAAGATGGCCTCTATAATTCTTTAAAACCGTGTCTATGAGTAGTCCTTATAAGTTTTCAAGGTTATTTAGGGATCCAACGATGACAATTCTTTACCAATTTCTATCGGTACTCACGAAATCGTATTAATAACAATTGTTAATTTCATTAATCGCTATGTCTTTGACTTCTCTCGTCAGGAAAGATTCTTACAGAAAATAATGATTTTGTAAGAAGTTTGACTAAATGTAAGCAAGGTCCCCATACTAATTTCTTATCGAGAAATCAAAATGATGTATTTTGAGGAGCCGATTACAAGTTCGGATACT